GTTAATTTGGTGTACTTACTATGTATGGCTGTCCGGCATGTCCTCTATTATTATCTGCACTTCTGCGGGGTCTTCTGATAAGATGGTAGAAGTCGCAACGCTTCCACGTTTGGCTGAACGTCTTTCCAATAATTTGGATAATTTTCGGATTTTTCGGCCGACCTCATCGGAATCGGAAGAGGAGGAATAACGTCGTCTTCTTCTGTGTTTACCCATCGTTGTGTTGTTGTTGTTTATCAAAAAGATTATCAGAACTGGAAAAGCAATGTACGTGTTAGTGTTAGTGCGTAAAAAGAAGTAATGGCTACCGAACCGGAAGCAGGGCGCAGCTTTACCGGCAACGGGGCGCGAAACTTGAATTATAGCTTTGAATTATGCGTGCTTGGTGAATAAACTGGAGACTGGAGCTATTACAATTAGTGATCTAATTTCAACCTAAAGACATTTTCTTGTAGATTTCGACTTCTAGAAGTTACTTTCGGCTTCATTTCAAATTAAATTTTGCAATATTTAAAATTTGAAGAAAAAATTAATGGATTATTTCTAAGATTGGGTTTAGGACCATAAATATTTTTCGTGGATCTTTAGGGGAATTTTTTCAAGACCAGAATTTAACAATACTCCCATCTTATCAAAATTTCGACCCTTTTTCGGTCACCTTCAAAACTTCTCTAAAGATATTTTGGTGTAGATTTCGAGCTCCAGAACTTATTTTCGGCCTGATTTCTTCAAAAAATGCTACTGGTTCCAGATTCGTCAAAATGAATTATGGTACTTTTTTCGCATTTTCTCAAATACGTTTGAAAAAGACCTGATTAACCAAAATGTTGTGTCAAAATTTTAGGAAAGCTTAAATATCCCAAATGAGTTCTCCCAATCCGGAATGAAATTTTGTATCTTTTCAAGAAAATTCGCCTGTTAGTTTGGATTTTCAAACATTTTTCACAACTTCATTTCTCCAAAAATTCCATGTGTGCAAAGCCGCCCATTGAAATAAGTATGATAATAATTTTTTAGATTTTTTAAAAAGTTGACTTTTAAAAAATCTTTCTAAAATGCTACTCTGAGACCCCAGAAACGCTTTATTCTTCGAACCAGCACAATCGTCGAAATCTATATCTCATATTTTTTTGGAGATTTTTAAGGATTGTTTTTTCGAAAATTCAATTTTGCTGCTCTTATGAAAATTTTGACCTTTTACCTAAAGATTTTTTTTGTAGATTTGGACACCCAAAATTCATTTTTGGCATCATTTTTTCGAAAATTCCTACGATTTTTCCAAAATCGTCCAAATTTGTTTGTGAATTTTTAGACCATTTGTTGGAACTTTTTGTGGGATTTTGGGCAAATTCGCCGAAGGTTCAATTTTTTAGTAATTTTCCATATGAATTTTTTACATTTTCTCAAGTAAAAGAGATTCTCTTGTGTTGATTTAGATTTCCAGAAGTACTTAATGCAGAATGAAATTTTTCATGTTTTCCAGAGACGATTCGGACCTGTAGAATTTTTTTCGGCATCATTTATTGAAAAATTATTACTATTGTCAAATAGTAATCGTCAGGATTTAAAAAAAACTGACTTTCAAGCCAAGTATTTCTATAATCCTGATTTCAGGCTATATTTTTCAAATAAACAGGTCGAAATCTAAGTATATCTTGGAATTTTTTGAGGAATTTTAGACAACTTTTTCATAAGCTCAATTTTTCAAAACTCCATCTCTCCATTTCAACCACTTTCAAAAGTTGTCTAAAGAGATTTTTGTGCAGATTTCCATCTCCATAAGTTACTTTCGGCCTCGTTTCTTCGAAAATTTCTACCATTTTTCCAAAATCTCCAAAATGAAATCTGTTAATTGTAAAAATTCCACTTTGAAACTGAAAATTTCGAAAATCGCGGTTGGGAGACCATTAACACACTATGTTTCTTTTATATCTATATCCCAGATTTTTTTGTGGATTTTTAGAAAAATTCGCGGGAGTTCAAATTTTTCAAAATTTTTCATATGAAATTATCACATTTTCTCAAGTACCTACGTTCGAAGATTACCGAAAAAGGTAGTTTTGTTCATACAGAATCTCAGAATTTTTTTACTGCTTTATTTCTTCAAAAATGTCTACAATTCCTGCCATTTGTCAATTAGATTTTTAAAAAACTGAGGTAAAGAAAATATTTCTAAGATATTACTCTTGTTCAATTAGCACGTCCAGATCTATGTCTCATTTTTGTGGATTTTTAGGGTTTTTTTTTCAAAAGTCAATTTTCAATGCTCTCCTATTATGAAAATTTCGACATCTTCCAAAATCCGTACATTTTTTCCAGAATCGCCCAATGAAATACGGCAAATTTTAGTTAAAAAAAAAAAGATTTTCAAAACAAATATTTCTAAAACCTTGCTGTGGACCCAGGAGGACGCTATATTTTTCAAATCTACACGTCAGATTTTTTTGTGGATTTTTAGGCAATTTTATAAAAAACACAATAGAATTTATCGATGTGAAAATTTCGACCTTTATTTGGCCACCTTCCAAACTTAACCAAAGAGATTGTTTTATAGATTTTGACTTATATGATAATTTGGGCCTCATTTTTTCCAAAATTTTTGCCATTGTTCCAAAATGACCCAATAATATGTAGCAATTTGCTGGATTAAAAAAAATATTTTCAAACGAAATATTTCTAAAACCTTGTCGTCCCATAAAAAATCAATTCATCGAGAACAATATCACATGTTATTTGAGGATTTTTAGATAACTTTTTTAAAAACACAATTTTTCAATATTTCTTATCAAAATTTGATCATCTACGAAGAGATTTTTTGAAGATTTTGATGTCATTACTTCAAAAACTTACTATTTTTCCAAAATTGTGGAAATAAAATATGAAATTTTTTGGACATTTTTAAAATTCTACTTTTAAACTGAACACATATTTCGAAAATCTTGGTTAGAGATACTATATTTTTCTATATCTACATCCTACTTCCTAGAATTTGTTGTAGATTTTAAGCAACTTTGTCAAAAGCTCAATTTTTCAGTACACCCTCCTTGGAAAATTTGGATCTTTTTTCGTCCACTTCAAAAATTACCTAAAGAGATTTTTTTGTAGAACTCCAGAAGCTACTTTCGGCCTTATTTATTCGGAAACTCTTACCAATTTTCCAAAATTACCAAAATAAAATATGGTAATTTTTTGAACATCCTAAAAATTTTTTTTTATCTTGAAAATCTTGGTTAATGACCGTTAATGCACTATGTTTTTCTGTATCTATTTTTTGAAATTTTTTTGTGGCTTTTTAGGCAAATTCGCCGAAGGTTCAATTTTTCAATAATTTTCCATATGCATTTTTTTACATTTTCTGAAGTACTTAACTGCTTTATTTTTTTTTAAACTTCTACAGTGTTTCCAGATTAACTAAAATATAATGTACAAAATATAAGTATATTGTACCATCTGTCTAGAAACCTGCAAACCGAATATTTTTATAATCTTTATCTCGGGATATAAACACGCTATATTTTTTAAATCAGCGCAATTTTTTGAGGTTTTTTAGGCAACTTTATCGAAAGTTCAATTTTTCAAAACTAACGAGATTTCTTTGCAAATTGTTACCATTTTTCCAAAATCGCCAAAATGAAATATGTTAATTTTTTACAAATTTTATGTACAAATGAATATTTCGAAAATCTTGACTGCAGACCATCAACACACTATATTTTCTTATATCTATATCCCAGATTTTTTTGTGGGTTTTTAGAAAAATTCACGGAAGTTTTAATTTTTCAAATTTTTTCCATATGAAATTATCGCCATTTTCTCAAGTACCTATTTCTACATTGTTGGATTTTTAGAGATTTCTTTTCAAAAGTTCAATTTATGAAAATTTACACACTTATTCGACCCCTTCGAAAATTATCTGAAGAGTTTTTTTTTTTGTAAATTAAGACCTCCAAGACTTAATGAAATACGGCAAATTTTAGGAATAACAAAAAAGATTTTCAAAACGAATATTTCTAAAACCTTTCTCTGGATCCATAAAGACGTTATAGTTTTCGGATCTACATTCCAGATTTTTTTGTCGATTTTTGGACAATTATATAAAAAAAAAACACAATTTATAGATATGAAAATTTCGACCTTTTATTTGGCCACCTTCCAAAATTATCTAGAGATTGTTTTGTAGATTCCGCCTTATAGAAGATACTCTGAGTCTCATTTTTTCGAAAATGTTTACGATTATTCCAAAATAACCGCACAACATGTGACAATTTGCTGGATTAAAAAAATTAACTTTCAAACCAAATATTTCTAAAACCTTGCTTTGGGACCATACACACACTATATTTTTCGAACGAGCACGTCGAGATGTAGATTTAGACACCCAAAATTTATTTTCGGTTTTCCTATGAAAGTGAAAAGCGAAAAGTTTGAGATATGTTAAAAACCCAGCATTTCCGGTCTTAAAATGGGACTAAATATATAAATATCTAGATAAATATCTTTATCTACTCATTCATTTTGGACAAATTGTAAAGTAAAATAAACTTGTTGTATGTACTCAGATATTTTGGATGCTTTTATGTTGTACTTTCATGTTTTCTACATTTCTGAGGCGTTACGTTTGGCTCGGATTTTTTTTTATTGTGGATGGTTGGGCCTGTATTGCAGATATGCAGAAGTCTCGTTTTCCAAACATTCGTCATGCCCTCTCCTATCACACTCGACAAAATATGGAAATAAATAGCTAGAAATCGACAGTTTCTGTTCTGAATCATCATTACAGCCTTCCTTTCAAACGTAGAAACATATTCCTGCAAATACTCTTCGTCTAACCTCACCAAGAAAGTTTCCACGAAATTTCCACGTTTCCTGTACTCCTCTTACCGTAATCTCGCTTTACCTCGCGACGTGGCGCCCTCCCGCGCCCAGTAGCCGCACTCCCGATTTGAATTTTGATCGTTGGGCGATGATGTCAGCTCTCGCCACGGCACGCAGCCATCTTAAATATCGCGCGTGCGCGTTAGCTGTCAGAAAGTGCAGCATAACCGGGATCTGTCAGCGTAAAGTGTGTGAAAAAAATTGAGTTTGTGGTTGTTTTTGGTGATAATCCGTGTGTTAGGTTAAAAGAATGGCGAAGCCCGAACAGGTCCTAAACATCGAACCCCAGAACGAGCTGCGATTCAGAGGTGAGCGAGCGCCCGACTTCATATTGACCTATTCCACAATCCGCCAATAACAAAATACCCCACGATTCGAAGCCCGAGCCCGAGGAGTCTATTTCAAGACTTTGACGCGTTTCGGCGAAGGCGGCCCTGGGGGCCACCCTCGGAAGCGCTCGATGCGATTTTTAGACAGAGGCGGCTTCCGCGGGGCCCTCGGGCCAGAGCGGTATCGACGGGGGCACTTACGCTGGCGTGAATTACGAGAGTCGTGAGGTGAATCGGCTGGGAAGGGTTGGGGTTGATAACGTCGCGATTTTTCGGCTTGTTTACACCCAAAGATGGGGTTTGGGGGGACGAGGTTACTCAAATCGAGTGCTAATTTTATCGTGTGGATTATGACTTGCATCGGATGGAGGTGCTCTTGACACATATTTTAAGTGGGTACATTTTTAGTTACTGAAATATGTTCGCTACTATCTATTTTATGTGGGTCCTCTTGATGGACTCGTAATTTATTTGTGGAACTTGTTCCAAGCTTGATTTGGAGGAATCAATTGAAATGAGGCACTTCTGGTTAATTGTTAGACCACTTTTGACACTTTTAACTCATTTGTAATATTCGGATTGAACGAATTCAGGATGTTAAAGTTGTGTCGTTAAACCTAAATGTTACGAAAAATAACACCCACATAACAGCAATTTGTTGCAATCGTTACAACATAGCAAATATGGAAAACCTGATACTTTTTTATAGCAAATAAACACTCGAGTGAGGTTAGATTCAGTTCAAGCTGTCACATGTGAATCATTGGATTACGTGTTCATTGGCACAGATTTTTTCCTTGCCTTTATTAGACGTGTTGTATGTTTTTGTTTATTTTTATTAAAGTGCGGACATGGACAACTTGCATGCAATTTTTCACCAATGTATAACGTATGACCGAGTCAATGACAGTCATTAGGGATTTTTGTTGTTAATGTTGGTAATTAAAATATTTCGAGCATTAGCATACTTAGTACCGGTTTTCGTCCACATGGAATACAATTTTGTCCGATATTTTATTCGACTTCTGACGCCTATAGATCTAAAATTCGTACTATAAAATATGGTTTACTGTTTTTCATAAAGAATAATATTGTTCCCGAAGTCTAAGATTGTCTCAGCAAATAGAGCAAAGTTCTAAAGTTTGTGCGATACCCGAAACAAAATTCGAATCGGTGTGTTTAACAACAAAGTTTTTCAAATTTACGATAGTGGTTTATGAATCTGTGTTGAGTTTTATCCTAGACGTACAGTTTTTTGAAAAAAAATCTAAATTCTAAACAACATTTTGCAATAAAATTTTGTGTCAATGTTTTAAGGTTATCATAAGCATGGCAAATCGTTAGTCAGTTTTATCATTATTTTTTAAGTTATCATAAAAAAATCGTAAATTTTATTGACTCTAATAAATCCTGTAAGTGTGTAAGCTATTATTAGGTTTCTATATTCTCTAGTTTATTAGAAAACCGAACATTCCTCGCCCCTGAAGAACAGCCAAAAAAGTTGGAATGGATTATTAATTATATGTAAAATAGTATTCTGTTTGATGTATTTTAAGGGAGATTTTCATTTTTCAGCCATTTTCGAAAATAACGCTTTTTTTACTTTTTTCACGTCCTGGATTCTATTAGTTTTCACTACCACTCCATTGGAGAACATAATTAGCCCCGCCCACCCACCCTGCTCCATTTCAGTGATGAATTTTATCCGGTCTGAATGAAATAAATGATCTTATACTGAGCAGAAATAAAATTAGTCGTTACGATGAGAAGACTGAGGGTGGGCGGGGCTAGTACTTGCTACGATAAAACTGATTTTGGCAAATGACAAATCTTCCAAGAAAATAGGGCGGTTGGGTGGGGCTAGAACTTGATAAGATAAGACTGTTTTTGGCAAGTGACATATCTCCCAAGAAAATAGAGGGGGGGTGGGCGGGGCTAGCGTTTTATAGGATATGACTGATTTTGACACTTTTGACATTTTCCGACATTTTTCAACCATTTTCGAAAATTAGCGAAACACTCGTCTTCGTTTCGTCGAAAATTTCTTTCTTTCAAAATCGTCAATTGAAATATAGCAATTTTTACAGTTCCAGTAGCAAGTAAATAGTACAACAAAAAATTTACGATTAATGCTTTTTTTTTACTTTTTCGCATCCTAGATTCTATTAGTTTTCACTACCACCCCATAGGAGAACATAATTAGCCCCGCCCACCCACCCTGACTTCATTTCAGTGATTAATTTTATCCGGTCTGAATGAAATAAATCATCTTATACTAAGCAGAAATAAAATTAGTCCTTGGGATGAGAAGACTGGGGGTGGGCGGGGCTAGTACTTGCTACGATAAATCTGATTTTGGCAAATGACATATCTTCCAAGAAAACAAAGGGCGGGTGGGCGGGGTTAGAACTTGATAAAATAAGACTGTTTTTGGCAAATCACGTATCTTTCAAGAAAATAGAGGACGGGTGGGCGGGGCTAGCATTTTATAGGATATGACTGATTTTGACACTTTGACATTTTCCACCATTTTTCAACCATTTTCGAAAATTAGCGAAACACTTTCGTTTTCGTTTCGTCGAAAATTTCTGGTTTTCTTTCAAAATCGTCAATTGAAATATATCAATTTTTACAGTTCCAGTAGCAAGTAAATAATATAACAAAAAATTTACGATTAATGCTTTTTATTACTTTTTTTGCGTCCTGGATTCTATTAGTTTTCACTACCACTCTATAGGAGAACATAATTAGCCCCACCCACCCACCCTGACTTCATTTCAGTGATTAATTTTATCCGGTCTGAATGAAATAAATGATCTTATACTGAGCAGAAATAAAATTAGTCGTTACGATGAGAAGACTGAGGGTGGGCGGGGCTAGTACTTGCTACGATAAAACTGATTTTGGCAAATGACAAATCTTCCAAGAAAATAGGGCGGTTGGGTGGGGCTAGAACTTGATAAGATAAGATTGTTTTTGGCAAGTGACATATCTCCCAAGAAAATAGAGGGGGGGTGGGCGGGGCTAGCGTTTTATAGGATATGACTGATTTTGACACTTTTGACATTTTCCGACATTTTTCAACCATTTTCGAAAATTAGCGAAACACTCGTCTTCGTTTCGTCGAAAATTTCTTTCTTTCAAAATCGTCAATTGAAATATAGCAATTTTTACAGTTCCAGTAGCAAGTAAATAGTACAACAAAAAATTTACGATTAATGCTTTTTTTTTTACTTTTTCGCATCCTAGATTCTATTAGTTTTCACTACCAACCCATAGGAGAACATAATTAGCCCCGCCCACCCACCCTGACTTCATTTCAGTGATTAATTTTATCCGGTCTGAATGAAATAAATCATCTTATACTAAGCAGAAATAAAATTAGTCCTTGGGATGAGAAGACTGGGGGTGGGCGGGGCTAGTACTTGCTACGATAAATCTGATTTTGGCAAATGACATATCTTCCAAGAAAACAAAGGGCGGGTGGGCGGGGTTAGAACTTGATAAAATAAGACTGTTTTTGGCAAATCACGTATCTTTCAAGAAAATAGAGGACGGGTGGGCGGGGCTAGCATTTTATAGGATATGACTGATTTTGACACTTTGACATTTTCCACCATTTTTCAACCATTTTCGAAAATTAGCGAAACACTTTCGTTTTCGTTTCGTCGAAAATTTTTGGTCTTCTTTCAAAATCGTCAATTGAAATATATCAATTTTTACAGTTCCAGTAGCAAGTAAATAATAGAACAATAGATTCTATTAGTTGTCACTACCACTCCATAGGGGAACATAATTAGCCCCGCCCACCCACCCTGACTTCATTCCAGTGGTTAATTTTATCTGGTCTGAATGAAATGAATGATCTTATACTGAGCAGAAATAAAATTAGTCCTTGGGATGAGAAGACTGGGGGTGGGCGGGGCTAGTACTTGCTACAAGAAAACTGATTTTGGCAAAGACATATCTTCCCAGAAAACAAAGGGCGGGTGGGCGGGGTTAGAACTTGATAAAATAAGACTGTTTTTGGCAAATCACATATCTTCCAAAAAATAGAGGGCGGGTGGGCGGGGTTAGCATTTAATAAGATATGACTGATTTTCACACTTGATATTTTCCACCATTTTTCAACTATTTTGGAAAATTAGCTAGACATTTTCTACTCGTTTCATCGAAAATTTCTGTTTTTCTTTCAAAATCGCCCATTGAAATTGCAATTTTTATAGTTCCAGTAGCAAATAGTGTAACGAATAGTTTACGATTAGCACTTTTTTTTTACTTCTTTCACATCCTAGATTCTATTAGTTTCCACTTCCACTCCATAGGGGAACATAATTGCCATGTTATGTTTGTTATTGTAATCATTTAATTTTTCACAATTTTTGATGAAATAATAATATGATGCGTGGTTCTGGACCATTTATAAAGCAGATGAAAATAATTTAAAAAATCGTTTTGTCCAAATGTAGAATGAATTTTAATACGTCAACTGGAACACTACGAGAAGTACGAGAATGTCGGGAAAATTGAGTAAACCGTTTTTGATTGAATCAATAAAATAAATTTGATAATTCGCTTTTTTCTTAACATCCTGTCGAAGCAATTTTAAAATAAAAATAAAGAAATATGTCGCAAAATAAATTTTAAGTGAAATTTGCTTATCAAAATTTTGAGATAACGTCATCAAGTTTTTGGAAGGGATGAATGGACAAAATGAGACAAAAATCGTCAAAAAAAGGAGAAGAAAAGCGACAAAAAAGTGGGAACAAATTTAGCACAAACAACGATAAAAAACGGAGAAAAAAACTACCAAAAACGCGACAAAAAAATGTAACAAAAAAAGTGACACATGAATGAGAAAAATACAACATAAAAAAGTTACAAAAAAACAATAGCGACAAAATCGCGGCGAACAAAAAAAAGCTCCAAAAACGACAAAACAATGACAAAAAACGACCCAAAAACGCGACAAACAACGA